GCTCCCCTCAGTACCTGCTGCAGGGTGGGCATGGACTGACTGAAACCCTTAGCTGAGAGTACAGAGCATCAGTTCAGTGTGGGAGCCCCACACTGCAGGAGAGTCTTGGGGAAGGTAACATTGCTGGAGCCCGTGAAGGGATTAAGAGGAGGGCTGCATTACGGCAGCTTTTCAGTGTCTTCCTCAAAAAACAAGGTCTGCTCATTCCTTCAGAGGATATTTGTGTCCATAATGCCTTGCAAACAGCTCCAAAGTTGTGCCATCACTTAGCATGGGTCTGCATTTCAAGACCTAAGTGTCAGCCCAAATATTAGCAGCAAGACCTCTTGGGTGGTGGTGTCCTCTTAACTCTGCCTGGGAAATGCTGCCAGCTAGTTTGAATAGTCTTTCAGGGGTTTGTAGTACCTGAAATACCTCCTATTTCCTGTCATCTGATGCTTTTCCTGCCTTCTAAATCTCTTACAGGTACGTTCAGAGTTAATTACATCTGTGCTTTCATTCACCTCGTCTAGAGGGCTGATAATCCGCTCCCCCTTCCCAGTGTGGCTTGGTGAGGAAGCAGCAATTAAAACCTGCCTTTCCGGGGACAGCTGTGAGAGGTGGTGACCCACCTACCTACTCCTCCATCCAGCTTCCTTGTACCTGTCTTTGTGTCATGGCACGTTCGCGGCTCCAGCCTGAAGGCCCCCAGTCTCTGATGAATGGGATATGGGGGACTTCTCTCTCATGGTCATGGCCTGGGTGGTGGCAGGGATGAGAGCTGCCCACGTTAACCCTTGCTGGGAGAGGAAGAAATGTATGGCTTGAAATAAACTGAGGGTTACAGATGCTGTAAGCGCTCCTGGGCTGTGTCAGTGAGGATCTTAACTTCTTTCAGCTGTAATTTCACTCTGTCCTGAAGTGCCTGTGGTCTGGTTCAGTTCCCCTGTCCCTCTGCAGGTTCATCCAGAGCTGGCTGCCCAGGACCGTGTCCAGTTGGGGTTTAGGTATCTTCAAGGATGGAGACTCCACAAGCTCTTCAGGCAACCTCTTCCCTTGTCACCCCACCCTCACTGTAATAAAGTTTTTTCTCATGTTTAAATTAGATTTTCAATATTGGTACCACTAACTGCCAAATAAAGGAATAATCTAAATAATTGTTAGTGGCATGTCCCACAGAAGACAACTGATTTAAAAGACTGAAGTCCCTTACTTGCAGCTTTCCATACTACACCTGGTACAGGTACTCTCCTCTCTGAAGCCCTGGGGTGTTTTATCCTCAGGACATCTCTTCCCTTTGGATGTGTTTCCATTTGCCATATCCCTCCATTCCCACGTAATCTGGAGCACAAATGGGTGGCAGCACACCCACTTAGCAGATCCTTCTGGGAAGAAAGCAGGTAATTACTGGGATGCTTCCAGGAAAAGACCAGGGTGGTCAGTGGGAAGGCAAAAGCAGGTGAGCAAAGCAGCAGGGAGGAAATGGAGTAAGAACAGAGAGGCGCTATGGCTGATCATCACACCAGGAAGTTACGGAATGAAGCTACTAGAAGAATTAAAACCCCCAATGACTCCATAATCTTACAGTTGATATGCGGTACCAGGACTTCACCAAGCTTTAATCCACATCTCACCCTAGGCTTTGTTTGTGACCAATGACAGCTCTTTGAAGAGAAGATACCTGCAGTGAACACAGAGGTTGTCATTAAATATTTACTGCTTCTGAATTAAGCAATGGGGGAGCCAAATAGTTGGGTTGCTGGTTTTTGCTATTTAAAATGTTCTTTGTTATGCAGTTTGTGACCTGTCAGGTCCAAGATTTACTAGGACACAAAAAAAGCAGATGAAATGATGGAAATGATAAGGAATGGATGGGATAGAGACAGGGTGTTATTCAGGCCAAGCTGCTGCACTGTCTTAGACACTTAATCTAGTCTTAAAGTAGCCTGGCTGGGCAGAAGCTAAAAGGGAATGGAAGGATTAAGGCCATGTCCGTGTCCCTTTTTTTAGCTTTCACATCTATGGTGCACTACCCTTCCCTGGGCCTGTTACAGCCCTCCAGCTCCCTGGCTCATCTGAGGTGCAGGAGTTGTTTTGTGTTTTATAAACCCCTCTGACTTGTGACAGCTCCATCCTGACTCTCTTGCAGAGCTGGGTCAATTTCAAATGCTAAAAGAAAATGACATTTTTCACTGCGATGGATGCAGACCACAAAAGGATGCCTTTTGGGTTGTTCACTGAGCTCAGAACTAGCAAAAAGAGCTACTGCCTCATCTTCCAAGTCCCTCCTGCAGCAAAGCTAGACAGAAAAGCCAGATAGTCATAAATTTACTTTCCATTGCTCAGCTAGTTGCAAACCAACCCCCATTCCTCCTCCTTTAACTTGTTTGTGGTCCGTGCTGATCCATCTTCAGCCCGGAGTGCAGCGTAGGTGAAATGCGAGCCTGGTAATTCTGCACTTTCTGTTCTTCCCCTGTACCGGTTGGAGAGGAAGAAGTACTCCGTAAGTGCAAGGAGTGCCACCTAATGGCCCGTTGAGAAACCCCAAAGCTCCACCCAGCCTGCCGTCTTGGTGGTTTTTCCCTCATATACATGAGTATAGTAAAACACGGTATATTTTCACAAGCACGCTGAAATGCAAGTCTCTTTCATGGCTTGTCTACCCATAAACTATGCCTTGAGGGTAATGTCATGTAGAATGTTTAGTTTCATATGCGAACACTTGTTTTTTTTAAGCTCAAGGCTTGTGTAGCAATACAGATGCAAGTAAGAATTCGCATGTCCATGGTGCTTTTTCTCAGAAACTCACCATTTGGTCCTTCTTGCTGTTACTCTTCAGTACAGCGTAACTTGCTTTACTTTAAAGATGTATAGGGATGCTGTATGGAAAATACGACAGAAATAAGGGCTCCAGAAGAACACGCACAAGCCATTTACTCTATAGCACGTCCTGCTGCTGCAGCAGGAATAGCTTAAATTTTCAATAGCTGCTTTCCTTTCAGGAATTATTCACTAGTTGTTCAGTTACAACCAAGCCCTAACTTTTGATTTGGTAAAACAGTATTACCTCAAATCCTTTATTACTAACAGTGGTCCAGTGCCAGATAGCACAGCCTGTTCCAAAAGAGCAGCATTTACTTGTTCTCTTGAAAAACATTCCTAGAAAGGAGGCTCAGGGAACTAATTCCTATACAGCCTGAGCAGCAGCACCTGCCCTTCCTTAGAAACGTACTTCCACCTAGACATAAACAGCCTGCTCATCAGCTTAGGCATAGGCATTAGGGTTGAACTTTCTGCAAGAACAATCTTCCCATGCAACCTAGATTTCCCAAATGAAAACAAATCATAGAGTGGTCTGGGTTGCAAAGGGCCTTCAGATCATCTAGTTCCAACCCCCTACTGGAGATGGTAAAGTATAGAGAAATGCACATTAGCACTTTCAGCACATACTATGAAGCAAACTATTTCTATTACATATCTTTTTGCAAGATACTAATTCATTTTCATTAGTCCAGAGAAAAATTCTACTTCCCCCTTCTTCATCAGAACTCATCAAGTATTACAAAAACCTCAGTAACATGTCCATGAGGTAGAAAACACTTGAAAATATTTGACCTTCAAGATTTCTTGCCCAACAACCAGTTTCAAGGTAACTTAAGAGCAGCCTTTTATTACAATGAAATACTTAAGCAAACCCCCACTTAGTTTAACCCCCAGAAATGTTACCTGAATCATTCTGAACAGTTCCAGTAGATCACCACAGCATGAGACTGCTTCTGCCTTCAGTGTGCAGACCCATTTGCTGACAAACAGCACACACACGCATTTGACCTCTCTCATACCTGATTCGTCTCAGAAACATATTCACTTGTTTCTCAGATTTCCAGTCAGGTCACTTACTTCGCAGTTCAGTGAAGTGTGTTTGTTCAGGATTCATTACTAACTTGCGTTAGTCTCTAAACTCACTGAGGACAAAGTAACAGCATTCACAACATACCCAAACAACCAAGGCCATGACCTGTTAATAATAGCCTGCAATAGGTAGGAACTGCAAAGTGCATCCATCTAGGTCTTTGTCACCTTTACCTCCATAGGAGGGACATCTTGGCACTGTAATACCTCACTGTGAAAACACACATGGGCAGAAGTAATGTTTTTCCACCGCTGGTCCAGAACTGCTCAGTTGTTTTGAAAACAGATCTATTTTAGGACATTTATGTATGTGAGACAGAACTTGCCTGTAGCTTAAGTCAGCCCTGCCCTGACAGGCATTTACTGATCACTGAATTCTGCAGGTCAATCCCCACGTTCGTTTTCTATTTGTTTTTCAAACGAACACCACTGATGTAGAAGATGACATAAGAAAGAAAAAAAAAACATTCAGCTATACCCACAATCCTCCCTTCTCCTTTACTCTTATCAGTTGTAGTGGGACAAACAAGGAAACTGGTAAGAACAATAGTAAGGGAAATACCTCTCAGAAAATGCTTCATGATGCGAGATACCACTCGCGATATGAATCTAGTCCTCTTCTTAAAAACCTATGGTAGTAAAATACATTTTAGGAGTACCATCCATGTACACATCAAGTTTCACTGGGAACACAGAGACACTGCAGTTTTATGAAGGAAGTATGAAAAATTAACATGTCAGATCAAGTTTTAGAATCACTATTTTTAAATTTTTCAACAGAAAAGAAACAAAAGTGAAACTGTACTAAAAATATGATGGAGAAGGCAAAGCTGGATGCAGTCTATATTCACCAATGCCTGTTTTGACAGGGAAATTTAAGAAGGAAAAATGTTGATACAGATAGGATCTATTAAACCAGTTATTAGATAGACAGCTGAGCCCACTTGTGAATAACATAGGATGGCCACAAGTGCCATGAGAAACCCAGGCTTAATTACATTTAATTGAATTAAGATGAAAATTCGGTAACAATTTATTGAACATATTTAAGAACAATCCAATTCACATTAAGTCTCTGTAGCATCATTATTTAAAAAAATACACCAATGTTTAGAAAGGGTTAAGGTATCATTTGCTAAATTCCATTGCACGTCAGTTTATTTTCGTATTTCAAAAGGGAGCAGCAGTTAGTTGATTACATAAAGACAAACATACATGCATCCAAGGCTAACATAGCCATTTAAAGTTGTAGCAACAATATATGAAACAGCATAATTAGTTTTTCTTTCTTTAACGAAAATATTTATAATCAGTTTTATAAGCAAGGAATCCATATGTTAACTGTGGAACCAGTTAAATACTTTCAGTGCAGCAAAAGAACTGTTAATGTCTCACAAAGTTTATATAGAAAACACATCTGCTCAGCATTCACAAGTTCTCATAGCACAATGGTTTGACTACTCAACTGCCTGGCTCCTTGGATACTAACCACCAGGCTGGCTGGCTTCCAGAAGCAGCAAAATAAACACTGTCAGCTGCTGTCAATTTAACACCATTTTGACTTGTGAAACACTGGAAATTTAACTGAAAAATCATGTTTTAATGACATGGCCAGGAACAGTTTTTATCAGTACTGATACCAATATTCCTCACAACTTTTTACTTACTAGTGTGAGAATATGGGGGTCAGTTACTCATGCTCATAATTCTTATATCCTAACAAAAAATAGTAAACAGTTTGTGCAGATGATCAGAAGCAGTGGATGGAGAATCTAGCTGGGACCCTGGCCTGGACCAAACAGACACACCTAAGACTGAAGTTCATTAGCTTCCATGTGACCACTCTGACTTTATTGATGCAGCTAATGTTTAAACAATCTCTGAAAATAAGCTCCTCACTCCTCAAAATGCCCTTTTTTTTTTTTTCCTTTTAAATTGAGCCCTTAATTTTAAGGCCTTCTTGTCTACCAAGAACCTTGTGCTTGATTTCCTAGCACCTTCACTGCCCTTCTGGATCTTCTCTTTCCTGCTACAATCCACCCATTAAACCTAAATGAATGGTTTGTTATGTTTTTGATGCCTATGCCTCTCCCATCTTTGGTAAAATCCTTTATTTGAGATTCTCAGTCTCACCTATCTTTTAGAAAAGCTCACAGGTGAGATGACCACCTAAGAGCGTAACTGTGGCATATGCAAAATAGTTTCTGTTCTAAAAGTACATGCCACTTAATGACACTGCAGTAAACAGAAGAATTCTTACTAGTACAGGTAGTTAACTTTAAGAATGGCCAAAACCCCACCACCACTTAACTCCCTCCTTCCCCCTCCCCCAAGACAAAGGGGCTTTAAGAACAAACATAAACTAGCAGGATTAAAAATGTCTTAATCTTAAAAACTGCCTTGAAACTAGGAAATAGGGAGTTCAGCAAGTATCTACCTCCCTGTGTATTACCCAGATTCTGGAGCAAGAACATCTGCACAAACATCCACCTGCTACAGCTTCAGAATTTGATTCCTTGGAAGACAAGCAGGAGCTAGCTTCCCAGTCAGCACTGATGTACAACTCCACAAAACTTGTTGTTCAACATGCTGACAGTATAAATTCCAGTTCTGAACAGGCACACAGGGAAGTAACCACAGCTTAAGCAAACCCTGAGCAAAGTAGTTTTGAAGCAATGGCTTATCTTTTTGAGCCAGCTTTCTGAAAGGTTTTATGCAAGACAAGAATCAAGGTGTTCATTTATTTCAGACTCCAAAACCTCAGTCTGGCAAACAGGACAACCGACTTTTTTATCCTGCCTCACAGCAGCGCTGGAACTTGCAGAGGACACTGTAGATTCAACTTTGGTTTTTGAAGGTGTACTTATACTTGAAGTGACACCAGTACCACCTTTTTTAATGAAATAGTTTTCAAAGGCAGTTCTGTCTTCCATTTTTGGCCATTGCTGAAATGTATGAGAACCTTCTGAGCTTTTTTTCTGACCTGCTGTTGTCTGCTCAAAACAAATTTGTTTTGGTGACCCGTTATAAAATGGCATAACCCTCTTCCCACTTGCAGAGCCTTGGTTTGATTTTTCTTCCGTAACACGAGCAATTTTAACAGGTGATCCACTCACGTTCTTGTAAGCTTTTGAATTAGCAACAGAGAGTTTAGGGAACTCACGCTTCGAAGATAAGCTGATTTTCTCACTGGCATCACCAGTATGCAGTGCAAAGAAGATGCCACTACGGGGTGATTTTTCAAATTTTATCTCATTTTTAGGGATTGGTATTGTCCTTACTGGGGAACGAAGCTGTGAACCAGGTGTTTCATTTGTGCTTTTTTCTGAGAGTCCACTGTCTCCTCCCCCAAGCCGATATCCCTTTCCACTAAAGGGTACCAGATCTTGCATACCATGAGTTTTTGTCTTGCCTGCAATTTAAGAGAAGACAATAAGAATAGTAACTTTTTCATCTATGCCATAGGCTTATTATTTTACATACTTCATAAAAAAAAAATCTGCTGCTTGAAAATAGTGCAGTAAACTAAACCTTTTTCAAACACTTTAGTTGAGAAGGAGCCCAGAAATGCACAAATAAAATGGGCCCTATTCTTCGCTATGTAACAGTAGCATCTAAGCAGAGCTCATGCAGTGGCTGATCTGTACTTGTCCACAGAACTGTTTGGACAAAAACAGTTTGGAAAACAGGCAGAAAAATTATTTTAAATACCTTTCTTAGGTGACTCGGAATTTGGAAGTTTTTCTGCCTGAGTTTTCTCCTTAGATTTCTTAGAGAAGTTCTCTGGCTCCTTCACTTTTGTGAATGTACCTCCACATTTCTCTTGATGCTCAGCCCACCAGAAGTCTCGTGCAGAGGGTGCTCTATTCATTGAACGTTTCACATATCCAAAGTAAGGTTTCCTATTTTGGCAGGGGCCGTTGCATCGCCACCAGTGCTGGCGGTACAGATCCACCTCATCGTGAAAATCATGATAGATCTAGGTTAAAATAACAAAACGAAACAGTCATTCAGAAAGTTCCTAATTTTACACCAACAGCTCTTCAATATTCTTTAAAAAGAAATTACCATTTCATTCCTTCCATTACTGCTGTGTTTTTTACATTACCAGTTCAAAGAGCTGAACCTGCGTAAAATTTGATCAACATTTAGACACCATTAAAACAAAGCTTAAAAGACAGGATGGGCAGGAATGTGTCCTGGCTATCTTGTCTGAACTGCAGTAAAGTCACTTTGAAAAATCTATCTACAATTTCACCCTACATGATGTACTCGTTAGAATGCACTGCAAACAATGCCAGTACTGTATTCTTTCTCCAGCTACTATCTCAATGGATCTTGCCAGACATATTATTTTGCAATACCATCAATCCACTTGCCTCTACTGATACAAATCTTAACTAAAACAGACTGTTCTTCTCCAAACGGTATTCTGACACGGAGCTATTCTGTCTCTGATAGCATTTAGTCGTTTCAGATTTAAAGAAAAATACTCACAGAGGGCATACTTGAAAATCATATGACTAACAACTTGCTACATCTTCCTCAACCTGTTCCCACCATCATCCCCAACAAAATAACTATGGAACTGGCATACACTTGAATGCAAGTTCGTATTGGTACCAACTGTGGAGTGTCAAACAAGAACAAGTTTATTACTCATACCACACTACATACACCAAGAAACCAAATCAGGAAGAAACTGCTATTAAATTAAGTAATTTACGCTTACTGTGACATTGGCTCCAGTCAACCGATTAATGCGACGCATGTGTTTGCAGAACTCTGGTCCATGAGATTCACGATCTTTGTCATTATTAGTAACAAAAAGCAGGGCATGGATCATTTCATGCAACAGTGTCTGAAACGATGGAAATCATTAGCTATTTACTGAAAAACACGATATATAGTTTCAAAATTAAGCTGTAAGTATGCTACTCCTCTACATTTATCTCAATACTGATCTTCTCTTCATGCATTCACATGTTTATTCTGGGGCGTAAAAGCATGATACTCGTTCTACCTGTCAAATCAAATTACCTCTATTCCCATACCACCAAAACATAGTACTACAGTAAGTGACATTCTAAAAAGGAGAAATAATCCCCAAACTTGTCAAATCTTTGAAGAGATCATCCCCTCTGCAACCAAGAGACACTTGTGAGAAAGTTGAAACCCCACAGCATTTCTGTTCATTAAGCAAACATGGATGTTCAGCCAACTCAAAGCAGCAGCCCTGACAGAGGCACAAGAAGCAACACAATGTTTACAGTCATATCCTGTACCCTTATTTTTAGCTGTGGGCCTTTTGAGCTAAAAGATGAAGCTACAGCCACCTTCTGATTGTGCTTTCAGTCCCTGTTTGTTTTTAATATTAGGGAATAATTTATGAGTAAAAAAGTTGGGGTTTGGTTTTTTTTTCAGTAAAATAAGCAAGTGGCCTTAGTCTGCCACTCAGAGTTGCCCATTTAGAAATGCAAAAACGAAAGATGACCATGACACCGAAACATTAGCATCACAAGTGTAACAATAAAGACACCACTATTTTACAATCTATAGGTATATAAGTATATACAGTATATAATACATACTATAAGAATCCTACTATAAAATATTGGGGGGGGGACGACACAAAATACATTTTATGTGCAGATTCATGAGCACTCTTCAAATACCTCAACAAGATCCTTCCTTGGTCTTAACTTGAGGAGGGGCTCACTCAGACGAATGGAACACATTCCACCTTTTCCTTCATATTTACACACTCCAGCACAGCTGAAAGAGATACAGAAAGAAAATATGAAAAGCTACTTGTTTCTGTAGTACATTAATTGAGAACTGGAGTTAAAATGCTGTCCTCTTCCAGCACATGCTAGGTAACTCTCAGAACATGAAGAAAACTTTTAGTAGTTACTTGAAAAACTCAAGAAAAAAATAAGAAAAAAATCCAAATCCACAAGTCCTTAGAATAAGCTGTGACTGAACCAGCAAAAGTGAAAGTGTAGTTTATTAAATATCTTGCAATCACTTTAATTCAAAGCTGAAGTAATCCTGAGGAAGGTGGTGATGGGGGCAAATCACAATGGACTGTTCCAAGCTAACCTGTTTAGGAGGCAGAGGATTGTTTTCATTAGAATTCCTCATGGAGTGAAATACATGAAATAGAGGCTGGAGATTCAAAGCAGCCAACACCAACTTAACTGCTGGTTGCTGCTATTTAACTCCTCATCCTCTCCCAATGTTTGACTCTTACTGAACTTTCATGTATCATCACTTCTGCATGCTAAACCAGCAGAAAACATTTTTCTTTTTTTTAATATTACTGAGTTAGTGCTCTACCTGTTCAGTGTTCAAATCTTTTCAACTATTTAAAGAGTGCTGCAACCAGCAGAGGACAAGAGGGGGCAGGACGCCAGCAGCCAGCAATTGCATCAGCTGATCTGCTACAGAACTGCAACCTGCACTTCAAAGCTTTTTTTGTTTTCATCTCAGATTCCCTGTTTATTCCCCTTCCTAATCTGTTCTAAGTTTTCTTAATATACTGTTACAATTTCATATTTACCTTTCAGCCATGCTGTAAAATTGTAATAGAAACGGAGAACAAGAAAAACAACAGCAATACAAGTATGTTCTTTTACACTGACATACAGTTTAAGACCAAATTATTTATTCCACTTCCAACATCTATCTATCCAACATCTATTCTATTCCAACATCTATCCAGTTCTGCCTGCACCCCACGGGAAGACATCTAAGGCTGCCAAGGATGACCAATGAAGGACAAAACAGACAATGACAATGACCAACCTACATCCCAGGGTACAAACCACGTTAGAAAAGCAAGACATCCAAGTACCTGGAAGAGCAGCTCTGGCACTAGCACACTATGCCTATGAACCAACATTCAGGAGTAGAATATAACGATTAACGACAGCTTTTCCTTCCTTACCCCTCCCTCCCCCCCACCCCCCCCACCCCATAGCTATATATATGATATATTAGAAAGAAATTCTTCATTGGCACAGGTTGCCCAAAGAAGTTATGGCTGCCCCATCCCTGGCAGTGTTCAAGGCCAGGCTGGACAGGGCTTGGAGCAACCTGGTCTAGCGGAAGGTGTCCTTGCCTGTGGCACAGAGCTAGAACTGGATGAGCTTTAAAGTCGCTTCCAACACAAACCATTCTATGATTCTATGACGAGATGAGCTATTCCTTATTCGAAGAGCCACAAACTCTTCCAACAGCTCTGACACAGCACCGACACCCGGCTGGCAGCTTCCCCTGCCCCCCCCCCGCACCCCGCCTGCCCGCCAGAGCCAGGCCTGCCTGGCTGGGAGGCCGCTCACCGCCGCGCCCGCCTCCCCACGCAGGGCTGCCCTGCGCGCCGACCCGGCGCCCCCCACCGTACAGGGTCATGCGCGGGCTCCACGACACGTCCACCGCCGCCAGGCGCCCCCAGAAGAGCGCCTCGTTGAACTGCACGAAGAGCCCGTGCACATCGGGGCTGGGGTCCAGCAGCTCCCACGACTCATCCACCACTGACAGCGGCCGGAGTGGAGAAAGGTCCCGCAAGGCCTCAGGACACGGTGCTGATGCTGCCGCTGCCGCTGCCGCCGCTGCCGCCGCCGCCGCCGCCTCCTTGTCCTCCGCTTCCCACAGCTCCTGGAGCTGCAGCGCCAGCACGAAGTCCTCCTCCATCCCGCTCAACGCAGCGCCGCCATCCGCCAGAGCCGCCTGGCGCGCATGCGCGTTACGAGATTAACGACCACGCATGCACCTAACGCCGGCTGAGTCCCTCTGTCCCCGGCGCTCACGGCCGCAGGGAGGGGAGCCGCGCATGCGCGTTGGGCGCGGCGCCGTTGTCGCAGGCGGTGTACGTCCTCCGGTGCGCAGGCGCAGCGTCGTTGTTCCTGACGGCGGCGGTAGCGGCTGCGGGGCGGGTGCCGGGCAGCGGGGCTGTTGGAGGTGCGGCCGTGGCGATGGCGCTGTCGCTGGGCGAGGGTGGCGGGAGCCGGTTGCGGCGGCAGCTGGAGTCCGGGGGCTTCGTGGCGGCGGAGTACGTGAAGCAGCTGTCGCAGCAGTCGGACGGGGACAGGGACCTGCAGGAGCACCGGCAGCGCATTCAGGCGCTGAGCGAGGAGACGGCCCAGAGCCTGAAACGCAACGTGTACCAAAACTACCGGCAGTTCATCGAAACGGCGCGGGAGATCAGCTACCTGGAGAGCGAGATGTACCAGCTCAGCCACATCCTCACCGAGCAGAAGGGCATCATGGAGGCCGTCACCCAGGCCCTGCTCCTCCAGGCTGATCGCGACGACCCCGAGCTGGGCTCCCGCCGCGCCGCTACCACCGATCCCTTCCTGCCCCTGTCGGCCAAGGAGGCAGCGGCCAACGAGGAGGGGCGGCAGCGGACGCTCACCACCCTTCTGGAGAAGGTGGAGGGCTACCGCGACCTCCTGCCGGAGAGCCCCAGCAAGTACCTGGTCTACAACGGCGACCTGGTGGAGTACGATGCTGACCACATGGCGCAGATCCAGCGGGTGCACGCCTTCCTCATGAATGACTGCCTGCTCGTGGCCACCGCGCTGCCCAACCGCCGCGGTGCCTACCGCTACGTTGCCCTCTACTCCCTCGATGGGCTGGCTGTGGTCAACGTCAAGGACAACCCTCCTATGAAGGATATGTTCAAGCTGCTCATGTTCCCCGAGAGCCGCATCTTCCAGGCTGAGAATGCCAAGATCAAGAAGGAGTGGCTGGAGGTGCTAGAGGAGACTAAACGCAACCGGGCCCTCAGTGAGAAGCAACGCCTGGAGCAGGAGGCCCTGCCCCGGCCTGCCCCAGCACCTCCTGAATCCACCAACCCCTTCGAGGAGGAAGAAGAGGAGGAAGAGCCCTCTGCTGAGGAGGAGGTGGTTGATCTCTCGCTTGAGTGGATCCAGGAGCTGCCTGAGGACCTGGACGTCTGCATTGCTCAGAGGGACTTCGAGGGGGCAGTGGACCTCTTGGATAAACTCAACGAGTACCTGAGGGACAAGCCTGTGAGCCAGCCCGTGAAAGAGCTGCGGGTCAAGGTGGATGAGCGGGTCCGGCAGCTTACAGACGTGCTGGTGTTCGAGCTGTCTCCAGACCGCTCTCTGCGGGGAGGGCCACGGGCCACCCGCCGAGCTGTGTCCCAGCTCATTCGCTTGGGCCAGTCCACCAAGGCATGCGAGCTCTTCCTGAAGAACCGGGCGGCCGCGGTGCAGACGGCCATCCGGCAGCTGCGCATCGAGGGTGCCACGTTGCTCTACATCCACAAGCTCTGCCATGTCTTCTTCACCAGCCTTCTGGAGACAGCAAGAGAGTTTGAGACGGACTTTGCTGGCAACAACGGCTGCTACTCGGCCTTCGTGGTCTGGGCCCGCTCTTCCATGAAAATGTTTGTAGATGCCTTCAGTAAGCAAGTCTTCGATAGTAAAGAGAGTTTGTCGACTGCGGCAGAGTGCGTCAAGGTAAGAGGCTCCAAAGAGGGTGGTGTGACATGGTAGCCAAAACAAAGGTTTCCTGAGTTGAAAAGTGAATATTCATTTGGGGTTGGTTTGGATTTTTTATCAGTTTAACAGAGTAAAGGATTAAGATGAAAGCGCACAGCCAGAAAAAACCTATCTTTATCAGAAATACAGTATGTGTTTATTCTTAATTTGCCTTTAACCAGTAGGAGGTCCTAAAATTTATGTAAGCCACATTTGAGTGATGAGTATTTGAAGACTTTTTTGTCTATTTTCCAAGCCTGTCCTGGACTACATTTCCATAGTTTTTTGCAAGACTAATTTATTTCAGCTTCTAATGGGGGAAAAAAAAAAAAGAAGGGTTGGGGAGTTCATAATGTAATTGTCAGAGTGTTTTTGATAGGCAGGGTTTATCTTTCAGTTATTAATTTCTCATTAATAAGAAATCTCTTGAAGCAGGAGAAATAAGTGAAGTATGACTCAGACTTCTCTGTTTTCTGAGAATTATAAATTTGGTAAATAAGATGTAAAGGGGGCATACATGCTAGTAACACCCTTTGTTTTTTGTTACTCCCCAAGGTAGCTAAGGAGCACTGCAAGCAGCTTAGTGAGATTGGACTGGACCTCACCTTCATCATTCATGCTCTTCTGGTAAAGGATATCAAAGGTGCATTACAGAGCTACAAGGATATCATCATCGAGGCCACCAAGCACCGCAACTCTGAGGAGATGTGGAGAAGGATGAACCTAATGACTCCAGAGGCACTGGGGAAACTCAGGGAGGAGATGAGGAGCTGCGGGGTGGGCAATTTTGACCAGTACACGGGTGATGACTGCTGGGTCAACCTGAGCTATACTGTAGTAGCTTTCACTAAGCAGACTATGGCCTTCTTGGAGGAAGCGTTAAAGCTTTACTTCCCAGAGCTGCATATGGTCCTTTTGGAGAGTCTCGTAGAAATCATCCTGGTGGCTGTCCAGCATGTTGATTACAGTTTACGGTGTGAACAGGATCCTGAGAAAAAAGCATTCATTAGGCAAAATGCATCCTTCCTGTATGAAACTGTCCTTCCTGTTGTGGAAAAAAGATTTGAGGAAGGGGTTGGAAAGCCGGCCAAGCAGCTACAGGATCTGAGAAACGCTTCAAGGTTGATGCGTGTAAATCCGGAAAGTACCACCTCTGTGGTGTGAAGTGACCTAACTGTTCTTATGAACAGCCTGAAAGCACTTGCTGAAAATGTTGTACATTGGATACATGAACTAAATGGGTTTTCTTAGTCCCTACAAAATGCAGAAGTCCAACTACTGCATTCCAGAAGCTGAAGACTTACAATCAAAGCCTGAGAGGATGCAACACTTTACTTGGTGGATGGGAGTTAGGGGAGTGAGAAGTAAGGCTGAGGTCCCATGTCCTTGGACAGCATATCCTGTAAGAATGGTTTGTGTAGTGTTTGTGACTTGAGGAACACTGCAATATACAATTTTTGGCCAAATGTTTTTGAAAGTCTTAAATATATATACACCACATGGTGGGAAAAGATCACTTATCACATCACTGTAGGAATTCTTTTTTAAGAGAGGGTTCTGGTAGGAGGGGAAGTGCTGAAACGTTCCCAGGGTGTGAGACGCATCCCCCATCCAGATGTGACTCAGCACTGCAGATAAACAACATGAATTTGCACAGTCTGATTTGTTTGGTGGCAATGCAAACTCTTCAGTTTTTTCCAACATTCAGATTCTTTTCATTCATTTCAGAGGCAGATCTAAATTAAAAATGGGGGGGGGGGGTGTTAAGGTTTTTGTGTGTGGATGAAGGGGCTGCTTCTATTTAATAAGCTTGCCTGTCAGCTTAAACTGCAGGTCTCTGGAAACAAACCTGCTGTCAGAAACATTTGCTCCCCTCAGAGAAAAAGTGAGAATAACTTTTTTCCTTCCCCTTTGTGTTCCCCTTCCTTGTTTTTTTCATGGACTTAATTGGGGTCAAGTCAGTTTGATTAAGTGTGCACTCTTGCTTGAGGTGCTGTCATAAATGCATGACAGGCCATTGCCTACTGATAGAAACCACCGTGAAGAAGTGTAAATGCTCTTGAGATGTGGAGGGCAGGGAGAAGGTCTGAAGGTACTGTTTCATTTGGGAGAAGCAGCATGCTAATTCTGCTGTATGGAGGCAGCACAGGATGAAGAGAGTGAGTGTGAGGCTTTTTGTAAAGGATGTGATCTGCAAAATACACACTCTGTTCTTCCTGCAAATATTAGTATTGTTTTTCTGTAATACAGCAATAACCTAGAAGCACTGTCTTTTTCTGTAGAAAGCCCAAGGACTGTGGTTGCGAGCACTAATGTAGATGGGGGAAGTTTATGCAAATACTTGTATGTTTGGATTGAATGGTGATGGCTGTCTCATTCAGTGTATGTCTCTGAAAATAAAATAAGCCAAGTCTTGTATAAAGGCTGGCTTTAGAAAGCTGTCAGCATCATGTTCTGAGCTGTGTAAACTTCTTCCCCTTTAGTGAAGACTTTCTTAGCTGTGAGAAAATTATGTTAAATAAGTGTTCTTAACTGGAATCATTGAGTATCCTATTCCTGTTACACTTTCGGATGAATATTTTGCAGTTTGTATCAGTGTAATGAATGCCTCGTGACTGCCAGAACAAGGTATTGCTAGTAATACATACTGTGTAACTGCTCATACTGGAGCTACTTTCCTCCCTATTTTCATGGTGCTAGTTCATTGCACTTTTTACCTTGGCTAGTTTTCATTCTGTTGCTCTTTGAATGCCTTTTTAACTGTCAGGTTTTGCCAAGCGTACTACTGTCTCTGCTCACTTGCTTTCCACTGTTCGGGTTTTTGCTAGCATATCCTGGGAGAAAAATGGTTTTAAAGGGTAACTTATTGCTCTTGCTAAAACTGATTGAAAACCACTGAAATAGCTGTAGTTTTATTGTAAGGGACTGAGACAGTGAGAGTTAGAACTTGTGTGAACATGTTATGTCCAAGAGAGAGCCACACGGGTGTTTTTCACTAATGAGCTGGTTTTGATACCAGATCCTAAGGAAGTGTATCAAAGTAATATATTCTTTCTCTTTTGCTTGAAGTGGGCAGAAGTAACAACCTTACTTAATCTGAGAAATACTTTCCAGTGGATTTTAAGTGAGAACTCTACATGATGATGGGTATTTTGGAAGAGAGGGAGAAGCAAGGGCTTTTTTTCTCTGAAGACAAATATATTTTATTGTTTTCTTTACAGCAGAAGAAAGCAGAATTAATACAGATGAGTTGTTTTGGTTTTGTGTTGGGTTTTTTCCTGTGAAAGAGAAAGGTAAGCTGTGGACCTGCTGCTCAAGACTGATTATTGTGATGCTTGAGAATTTTGTGTAAGAAGCTGAATTGTAGTTTCATGCTTCCCAGCTCTGGAGTAAGATTGAACAGGAGGAGAGCCCTGTTCATGTATCCATTGTAAGCTGGTGTAGCACATCTTGTCCTCATCAGAGGATGAAAGGTAGAATGTAATTCTGCCATGTGTTCTGTTATGCCTCAGTCACCGCTCCCATTATCAATCTATTTACAGCACTCAGGGCCTACTGAATTTTTCTCTGCCATTATCCATGGATCAGTGGGCTTACGTGGATGGTTGGTTTTAATGGATCAGAGAATTTGGCGTTTCCTCTGGGTGATCAAATATGTTCGTGTGCCTGGCACAATCCAAATATGCGTGTGGATTTGTATAAACCGCTGTAGGTAGCATTGATACTTTGTAACTTGTGAATCAATTCAAATTGTAAGAAAATCAGGAACTTAAGGAAAATGGTGTGCAATTAAATTAAACACTTTGTATGTTAATTCAGTTAACAAAAAAGTTAACGTATGCAGAGAATCATGTTTTAATAAATTTCAGATTTGAAGACAGTAATTTGGAGTTGCACTTTTCCTGAGCAATGCACTTGTCTAGTGTTGTTCAAGGTGGGATTTGCAGTAACTACTGAATAACATGATAGCAGTTTTGTTGATTTGGGGAAGAACTAGTCTTTTTGTTTTGTTTTGAGACAATTGCGTATAAAATCTGGTTTCCTTTAGCTGCTGTGACAAAATTCTGTAAAATGAAGATTTCTTTTAATTATTCAGATGAATTTATGTATTGGAATTTAATGCAATAACTTTTCTGAACAGTGAGGACCATGTATTAAAACTTTTGGACGTACAACACTAGTGGTGAATTTCTGTTTTTATTACATCATCATCGGGAGGAGGATGTTGATTCAGAGTTCGAATCCACTAATGAATTTCCAGTGAAGTAGGAGAGCTTCAGGTCAGTGGTTTGTGAGGGAGATGTGAGAGGCAGCTGGGTGGTGAAAGCCAAGTGATGTCACTTCAGTTACATTCTTACAAAGTCAGTGTGTCCAGGGCAGTGTCACGCTATGGAATTTGTTACCTTCCAGAGATAATTTTTTCTCCGGAGTCCGTTCGCTCTTAACTTGAATGCTACATGTGCAGTGCAGGCTTTCTCCTCGCTAGGTGGAGTTCTGCTGTTGAAGCTTCGCTATGCCAAGGACAGGCCCAGCCATTAAAGCTCTGCCGTCTCCCAGCGTGGCTTGGGACGTTTTGTAACACGCTGGGTAATGAAGATGCTGCACTGAACTTTTTGGACATTAGGGTCAACTTTCTTTCCTTCCTTGGTAGTGCTTTTCTTCTGCATTTTCTGATTTTTGTGCTGTTAATTTCTTAATTCTTCACGTTTTCTTTTCCTGCTGTTTCTATGCCATTGGCAGGCATCCTGCAGAGGATCTTACCTTTCTACTTCTTCTAAAGGTATGTACCAACATGTGACGTTTGTTCTGCCTCAGACATGCTTTGCTAGACTGCAAGCTCCTACAGAGATGTGAAGTCACTTGTGTCACAGCTTCACCTACCTTGTGTAAAACGCTCAGCTTTATGACTTCTCAAAGTCAAGCTTGTATGACCTCTTGTTATTTTACTTCAGCACTGAACTGAAATTCCAACGAGAGCTCATGCTCACAATACAGCTTCGCACTCCAGCATGATAATGCAAAAGATCCCTGCCATCAATCTCCATAACTTACTCTTCACATTCCCTTTGCTGCACAACTCCTGTGTTTTAACTGGGTTACCTTTTACTTAAAAATATCAGTAGTTCTGCAAACTCCCACTGTGTTTTCCCTGAAGAAAATCAAACCCAGAATGGGGCATATCTGTCAAGGAGCTTTGTGAGCATATCCTGTAGACACATCTCTTTCCTCAGTGGTTTGAGAGTTGTGATGTACATTTAATCCCTGCAAACTCTGAAAGGTAGTAGGGAGAGAAACACCTCAAACTGTGGTGAAAATAGGTTTATGCCCTTGATAATTACAAGGGATGCTGACTAAAGTAATCAATCAGAATTTGACTGAGCTACCTCGGACACAGGATAATAATGTCTTGGAGTCTTGGAGTATTTAAGAAATTTTGCTACTACAATTTTAGTGGCCTCAGCATACCCTGTAATGCAGTTCTCAACTTCAGGGTTACAGGTGGAAGTAGATTCTCTGCTACAGATGTGCTCTGTTTAAGAGCAGAGAGAAAGTATAAGCAAGCAGGCTGTGCTGACCACTGAGCAGTGTTCCCCTTCCAGGTGGCTGATCAGCTTTGGGGCAATTTTAGATCACTCTTATGTGCCACTCTAGTATTTATCCTCTATTGCTCCCCATGCAGTAGCTGCGTTCCTTTCAATATCCTGAGCATCCTAGTTCTCACCCAAGTGGGAGATGATCTGGGAGGATGGAGAGAACCTGCTACCCAGATTTCTTGAAGTGGGCTGTGATGGCACATGATTACCAGTGGGGGTCCCACAAGAACTCTGAATCAGCAAGTGTCACCTCTGCACGGGGAAAACAGGCTGCTCTGTTTGCAAGCAGATACGGTTGTATTCAATTCGTTCTCATAGACCAGTACAAGAGCTAAAAGCAGGTATGGAAGCTGAGATATTCATCTCTTCATGTCATGGCAGGAACTGGACTCTGAGGCTTTAGATTACCCCAAATATAATTTGGCCCTGCAGTTGCCAGGAATCTTGTTCAGATGTGCTAATATGTTGGCATATGATTATTGAATGTATTGCACTAGGGGAGTGGACCAGGGAGAAAAGCAGGTAGCATTAACTTCACTGCTGCTAGGGAAGTCCTTGATGATTTCAAGTTATTTATAAATAAGACAGAGCCATGCAGCTCTTCAGTGAGTTCTGCCAAGACACACAGTTCTTTCTCTGTCCTCCAACAAAGCTGAGCTAGTCAAAATCTAAATGCTCATGAAGGTGTGAGAAAATTAGCCAAATCCTTTGCAGCACAGAGCATGACTTGGGCAAAATTGGGGTCTGAATTTCACATACCCCTAAGCTGACTGTGGACTGAGGGAAAACTTTTCCTCAAACACTTCCAGACATAAAGTTATCTGGGCTTTGAGTCATTCCTACTGTTTCTAAAATCACAGTTCACAGACAACTGTCTGTGCCAGTCAGATTTGTTAAGACTAATGTGTTCTGGGTTTGTTTTAATTACAGCTTCACAGCACTGCTGCAGTCTGGGATTCCTGTTGTTATGTTCATTCTCAGTTCACTGGACTCAGTTTTCACAATAGGAAGGGGCCCAGCTCCTGCAGGATGGGGTTCTCAGAAGAATACTTGAAGCTCTGCAGAGAATCCTTCCTTCCTCAGGATTCAGTGAAGTTTTCTCTCAAAATGTGGGTCTCTGATAAGCAGCTCCTGTTCTGATTTTTTCCTCCCTCACTAACAATTGGCAGGATTGTTTGTTTTCCCACTTTGCAGTGTAACTTCTCCAGCAGAGGTGCCAGATTGGCTTTGTGGAGGAAGGAGGCCAAACTGCATGTTAAATTACAGTCTGTGCATCTGTCTTAACGTAATTCAGGCCATATACCTCCCTGTCTGTTCTTGCTAATGACAATGTGCATGGGGAGGTGGGGGATTGGGAGGTTTGCAAGGAAAGATCTGTCGTCTTGGTCCCTCCAACTTCCATCCAGTGAGATGCTTAAGCACACACTGAAGAGCACAATACTGAATTCGAGAGGCCTACTCCTACACATAGAGCTAATAAAATGTTGAAGTGCTTTTCATGCATGGAGCAGAAATAGATTTCATAAAGCCAAATGGCAAAGAAGCTATAGGGGGGCAATACTGGAGCAACAGTAGCACATGATCGAACAAAGTGTGCATCTCTGTGACACCTCAACTCTAGTGACAAACTGTGGTGCCTAACAAAACTTTCTCCTTCTTCAGTGGGTGCAGCAGGCTCCATGAATCATCAGTGTTGCAACTTTCAGGAGGCAGCAATAATAGAGTTGGACATGCTAAAAAAAACGTTGCTTCATCTAACCTGGTGTGATATCTGGCACCACATCAGGGTGGAGGAAATGCCCTCTAGAAAACTGTGACACTTAAGGAAGGGTGCACAGTGAGGCTG